GAGCGGAGCTCGTCCGCCCATCGGTGGGAGATCACGGAAGCAGCCCGGAGCAGATGAAGGCCAGATCCTCCATCCCCGAGTCTGGAGATCCAGGGGCGACGGCCTCAGCAGCCCCTCTGCCTTCTTTCTCTGGGCTGCCTCGGTCCCCCCAGCTCCTGCGCAGCGTGCAGCAGCCTCACCGGCCTCCTCTTCCTCCTCTGCAGCTCATCCAGTTCCTGATTTCCTTGGTGCAGTCCAACCGGATCCTCGGGGTGAAGAGGAAGATGTAAGTGAGCCCCCAGGGGTGCACGGTTGATGGGCAGCCAGGGTGGGGGAAGCGCTGGGTCTGGCAGGGTGGCCCGGGGACCCTGGCCTGCAGGGTGGCCTCACTGCCCCCTCGCTCTCCCTCGCAGCCCCCTGATGCTGAACGACGGCGGTTCACCCCACAGCATGCCCAAGTATGGCCGGCAGTACTCCTTGGAGCACCTCCACAGCCCGTCCCCCTACTCGGTGAGTGGGGAGGGGTATAGCTTGGGCTGGGCGGATGCCTTCCCTTGTTGCCTCTTTCCCCCCCCCCCCCATGTCTTCCTTCAGGCGTCCCTGGGCAGACTCTCCAAGAGGGCATCTCTCCCCTAACTTCTTCCCTTCCGGGTCCCTTTCCCACATGCAACCAGCCTGCCACCTGTCCTCCTTTGACCCTGTCCACCTTCCCCCAAGGGGTTGCACAGCTGATGATTCCCAGCCTTGCAGCTCGGCCGGAGCCCAGCTCGGCTCTGGCCACGTCCGGTTTCTGGGCGGCTGCAAAGGTTGGGTCCTCCAGTGGGAGTTTCCTTACCTGGTGCTAATGGATGCTTCCTGGAGTCCCCCCCCCCCCGGGTCTCCCACCCCAGGGCTAAGCAGGCCCGGCTCTGCTTGGCTGCCTTTGACAGACCGCTGCGGCCCTTCGGACTCCGGCTGGCCCTTGGACCTGAATCCTCAGACAGGGGGTCTGGCACGGCCTTAGGTCAGGGGGGAAAAAAATCCAAGTGTACCTTTCCCAGCAAATGAATGTTATTAAAAGGATCACAGGTCCCGGCCAGAGTTTTCCTGAGCTGCAGCTCACAAAGGCTTCTGCCCTTTCATAAACTTTGTCCCTCGGGAAAAGCGTGCCCGGATCCCGCTGTTTTCTGCCCCCGTAGATGCAGCTCCCTTCCCACATTGTGCCGGCCCAGGAGTTGTGTTCCCTTCATCCAGGCCCGGCCTTAAGCCTGTGGTCTGAGCCCAGCCTTTCCGCCTCTCTTCCCCCCAGGGTCCCTCCTGGCCTCCCCTGCCAGCCCCCCTTCCCTCTTCCGACTGGGTGCTGCCCGCCTGCCCTCCTTCGGGCCTCCTCCGTCCTCTTCTCCAGCTGAATCGCCAAGGGATTTTTTTAGGGGGGGGCAGTTTCTCAGAGTTTCTGCTGTAGGGAGGAGTGGGGGCAAGGAAGGGGCCCTGAAGGAATCAGTGCTCCGCCATTGCAGGGTGCAAATATGGCTGACCACCTTTGCAGCGTTTATTCTTTGATACAGTTTTCCAAGCAGCAAAAGTTTAACATGGCAGTAGCATTTTATTGGTTCAACTCCTTACCAATCCTTAAGAATATACAAGCCAGGAGGCCCCAAACAGGGGGAGCAGTTTGCTGCAACATCCTGTTGGTGTAACCTAGCTGATATCAGGCAGGTGAAGTCATTGGACCAGCCTGGGGTAGTTTTCCCACATTGCCATGGTGATGTGAAGGGATGAGATCCTGTAGAGAGAAGAGGCACACAGGCTTTGGAGGGGGCAGTTTGCTGCTCCCGACCTCTACCTGGCCCCCACCTCTACAGGGCCCCTGCTGAAAAGACCCCTGTGGGGAAGGGGGTCCCTGTGCTTCACTCGCCTCTTGGGGAGGGAGGGAGGGGCTGCCTCTTGGCCCATGGCTGGCGGGGCAAAGACCCATCTCCCCCCCCCCTTCTCATTGCAGGCGTCCTCCCCAGCGTACGGCGGCCCCAAGCTCTACTCTCCTGACTCCGGCCCCATCATCTCCGACGTGACCGAACTGGCCCAGTCCAGCCCGTCCCCCTGTCCCAGCAGCAGCAGCTTTGAGGAGGAGAGGTAGGTGGCTTCTCTGGGCAGGGGGGGAAGGCCAGGCTGCCCCCCCTCCTTTCCTCAGAAGGTTCCTGGGGGGGAGGGGGTGCTGTGTCGGAGTTTGCATCTGCACCCAGAGGGGGGAGCCGAGCAGTTATCCCCCTCCACTTTCCAGCAAGGAAAGGAAAATTGGTTCAACGGTTTGGCACGGCTTGATTGCCGGTTCCAGGTCACTTTGTGGCTTTCTCTTCCCGATCCCGTTGGTGACCGTGTCTCTCAGCAGAGCGGCCCCAGGATCCCAGCCGGATGGGTGAGCTCTGCTCCTGTCACTCATCGGTGGCTCTGACGCTCGTTTCCATCATGTGCCCAGAAGCCCTGGCCCCATGCTGCTCAGCCTCAGGGGGACTCTGGGGCCAGGAATCCTGCCTAAAGGAGCATAGTCTGCGCTCTGCACTCTCAGCCCCTTGGTAGGGCAACGACTTGCCTGGTCCCCTGCCCATGTTCACTGGGTTCGGGGTCCTCAGGACCCCAGCCCCCTATTGCTTCCTCTCCCCCAACCCTCACGCTGCCAGAGGATGGAGCCACAGCACGCGTGTCATGGCCACACAGGAGCTCCTGCTTGTAAAAGGGGAGACGGCCACTTGCCAAAATGGGTCAGTTCTGCTCTCTTTTTCCCACTCTGGAACTTCTGCTGGAGTGTCAACACTGGACGTACATCTCCATCTCCATGGTTGCCACGATGTAAAAAAGATGTTGGGACTCTAGAAAGAGTACAGAGAAGCGCAACAAAGATGATCAGGGGGATGGAGGTTAAAACATATGAAGAACAATTGCAGGAACTGGATATGTCTAGTTTAACGAAGAGAAGGACGAGGGGGTTACATGATAGCAGTGTTCCAGTATATCAGGGGCTGCCCCAAAGAAGAGGGAGTCAAGCTATTCTCCAAAGCGCCTGAAGGCAGGACAAGAAGCAACGGATGGAAAGTAATCAAGGAGAGAAGCAACCTGGAACTAAGGAGGAATTTCCTGACAGTGAGGACAATTAACCAGTGGAATTGCTTGCCACCAGAAGTTGTGGGTGCTCCAACACTGGAGGTTTTCAAGAAGAGACTGGACAGCCATTTGTGTTATTCTGTTATCTGCCCCCAGGGTTTGCCCTCCCCCTTCAGACCCCCCCCCAAGGGCTGACACCTTTGCCAGCTCTTGAGGAGAGGAGAGTTGGGGGGTGGCAACTCTGTGGTGGTGGTGGTGGTGGTGGGACCCTTCCCATTCGTGCCTGCAGCCACAAGCCTCGTCCTCAAAGCCCCCGGTCTTCCGCCCGGCCAGTTGCCTGCCTTCATTGCTTCTCTCCTCTTTTCCTCCTCTCCCGGCCTGCCTTAGGAGCAGCCCCCTGGTCCGTATCAAGGAAGAGCCCCCGAGCCCCTCCTGCAGCCCCTCCGCAGAGGACGTCAGCCCCGTGGGCCCCCCGCTCTCGCCCTCCACGTTCATCGACTCCATCTTCCGGGAGGAGCAGCCCAGCAGCACTTCGGCCACGGCCCCCCCCACCCAGGGCAGCCCAGCGCAGCCCCAGGAGAAGTGCCTCAGCGTGGCCTGCCTGGACAAGTGAGTGTGGGGCATCACGCCCGGGGCAGAGGGTCCCCTCCCCTCTCTGGCCCACCCCCCCCTGCCGTAGCCCAGGGCTGTCCGGCCTTGGCAACTTTTA